AGGCAGAGCTTCATGTATAAAATTAATCCATATAATTAACGCAATCTTAACCCTTTTTTCACCTCGTCATTTTTGTGATGTGTCATTTACGTTTTACGTTTCTATTAAAATAAAATCCCTGGTGGAAATTTCGTTGAAATTATTTCACATTTTTAAACTTTTCAGCAAAATTTCAGCGATTTTTAGCTGAAAAATTCACTTTCAGTGAAATTTTAGCAAATTTTTAAAACAATTTCGCTGAAATATTCCAAAACGTGGAATTAATTTCTGCAAAATTTTTTCACCAGGGATTACATCGTAACCTTAAAAGAAGATATACGGTTTTCAACTACAATTTTACTTAATAAAAGTTTCAACCTTTTAATATACGATTAAAAAGTGAAATGACATTTAATGATTAGTGAAACTATCATGTAAGTTCGGCACACACTTTACCGGCGTGCGCGACGCGTGGAGTGATCCTACGAGGGAGAATAAGGATTAAAATTATAGTGTATTGAAATAATAAAAAAATTTTAATTTTTCTATTAAAAGCAAAAATTACTATTTTCGATTGATTATTTTGTGTATTCCTTTCTTATAAGAAACACTCTAAAGATAAATGTAAAATAATTTATTTCTTCAACAATTCCTTTATTTTTCTTAAGGCCCCATTGTGCGACTAAGGTATGGAAAAAGATGTTGAATGACCTGTCAACATATTTGCTGTCTTGACGACATCCTTAGACAGAACTACCTATGATGGAAAGAGAAAAGAAAAAAACACCCAAAATGACACCCCTTCGTTCCACGCTCATTAGAATGAATTCTTTGGTGCGTGTCACGCCTGCCTCTACTACTGCTACTGTGTGTGTGTGTGTGTGTGTGTGTTGCGTGCACGCGCATGACATATGTAAATTTAAACTTGTCTAATCGTATAATTTTAAGAGAATAAAATATTCCAAAAAAAAGATATATTACATAGATGGATTTTCATCACTTAACTTATGTAGTAAAATATTATGAACATTACAAATGTATAATTAAAATCGCCCAATTATATATCGCTTAATTGATTGAGTAAAGCATAATTAATTAAATGAATAGCGAGAACGATGTAGACTTTTAAGATACACACGTTATAATGTGCACTTTGAGAATCCAAGAATTAATTTTCAACTGTGCTCAGCTTGAAAACTTTGTAAATATATAAGCACTGTTTAATTTCTTTCAATAAAAAGTAAACATATGGATGTCTCTTTAATGGAAGAAACGTATCGTATATATATATATATATAA